GCCCCTCTCCAGGTTTCCTGGAGCCCCTTTAGGCCCTGGAGCTGCTCTAAGGTGTCCCCTTGAGGAGCCTTCTCTTCTCCAGCTGCCCCAGCCCAGCTCTCTCAGCCTGGCTCCAGAGCAGAGCTGCTCCAGCCCTCGCAGCAGCTCCGGGGCCTCCTCTGGCCTCGCTCCAGCAGCTCCACGTCCCTCTTGTGCTGTTCCCCAGAGCTGGACCAGGGCTGCAGGGGGGGTCTCCCCAGAGCACAGCAGAGGGGCAGGATCCCCTCCCTTGACCTGCTGCTCATGCAGGTATATAGGATACACGAGGAGATATACAGGATGATTTCATGCCTTACTTAGCTTTCAACTCCCAAGTTTTGGTTTTCCTGCACTGTCCTCCATTAATGTCCCAAGGTCATACAAGTACAAAAGTTTGTGAGCTTAAAGCACATATATTCAAAACCATGTAAACAAGGCCATCAGTGGAATGGGTTAGTGGTGGCCTTGGCAGTGCTGGGATAATGGTTGGATTTGATGATCTTAAAGGTCTTTTCTAACCTGGTTGATTCTGTGATATTACACAAACCAGACACATGAAGCCTCCAGAAGCAGCACTCACATTCTGCAGCAACCACCTTGTACATAGATTGTGATTCACCCAGCTCCACTCGACTAAAGTCTATAGGCCTGGGATAGTTCTGGGGGTGATGTTGGGGAGGGAAGGACTGGCAAGAGCGGGAGGCAGACGAAGGCCCCAGAACAGCAGCAAGTGAAGAGCACCACCTACCTGCAGTACTCTGCGAAGGTCAGCACGTAGCACTTCTCCTCGATGCAGGCAACGCTGTTCTCATCCTGATGCCGGGATGCGAAGATCTCGTTCTGCAACAGAAGGAAGGAAGAGGTCACCCAGGAGCCCACACCTGCACCCATCACCCTAAAGGGGAGCCTATCAAAGCATGTCCATAGCAGAGGCTCCTTAGAGCCAGCACTGCACATAATGCAGACACCTTTCCAGCTGTTTTGGGACCTATTTACAGTGTGCACCAGAATTTTATCCAGCAACAGGTCAGATCTAAGGCAGAAGCTCTTCCCTGGGAGGGTGCTGAGGCGCTGGCACAGGGTGCCCAGAGAAGCTGTGGCTGCCCCATCCCTGGCAGTGTTCAAGGGCAGGTTGGACACAGGGGCTTGGAGCAACCTGCTCTAGTGGAAGGTGTCCCTGCCCGGGGCAGGGGTTGGAGCTGGAGGAGCTTTAAGGTCCTTTCCAACACAAACCAGGCTGGGATTCTCTGCCATGCTTCATCAGAGAAGCTGAACCACCACACCTTGCTCTGCACGCTGGGGTTTTGGGCTACTCCTTCAGCCAGAAGTACCTGAGTCATCTCTGACCAGCCCATCCCCACCGCTCAGCCCAAACGCTGCTCTCGCAGTTGAAGTCTTGTGTAACAAGGCAGCTGTGCAAAAACCTGGCTCAGCTCCTGGCCAGACTTCCAGTGCTTCCTGCACTGAAGTGCAACTGGACACAGTCTATCAGGTACCACCTGGTTTCAAAGCCCAGCTGTGCCCTGCATCCATGTCCCATCCCCAGCTCTCATCCCCTTATCTAAGAAAGCAAAACAAGGAAGAAGGCACCGAGCAAGTGATGGGTTGAAAGCTGCAGTCACTTCTCCATTCCCAGTTTAAACCCAGCTGCTTCTGTCACCCCAAGCAAAGCAGAGCAAGGTGTGAGGCCATAATGATTCACAAGGGTTTCCTTCCAGAAAGCAAGCTATTAAACTGGCACAACAGCCCCGAGTCAGTCTTTAATTCTCATCATAAATCTGGACAGGGGAGGATGATGCAGCCACGGTTCTGCACAACACAAACAAGTGCTTGAGTTTAAGAAGCAGATTAAGGGACTTATGATAAAAGGCAGCATGAGATATGGGCACTCCAATGTCCTGCAGGCTGCAGCAGGAGCTTTCACCCTGAGCTCTGCATGGCTGGGGGAAGGAGAATCTCCCTTCTGGAGAGTGGCTGATCTTCACTCAGTATAACCTGACTCTTCCTCACTCCCAAGGTCACAGTCAAAACAAGTTTTCACTTAACAGACAGTATTCTATCAGATTGAAGGGGGAAACAATAAAACTTAAGAGGTGGCCACATGAAGAAGGCAACAGCTTCTGTTATAGCCCAGGTTTCTAACCCATGACCATAAACTGGGGGAAAGTCCACCTATAGGACACCACTACTCAACACATAGAAAGGTTTGTGTCAGAGGGAGCTTAAAGCTCCTCCAGCTCCAACCCCTGCCCCGGGCAGGGACACCTTCCACTAGAGCTGGTTGCTCCAAGCCCCTGTGTCCAACCTGCCCTTGAACACTGCCAGGGATGGGGCAGCCACAGCTTCTCTGGGCACCCTGTGCCAGCGCCTCAGCACCCTCATAGTGAGGAACATCTGGCACCAGCTGCCCCTCAGCCAAGGGACAGCTCCGTTCACTCAAACCAGCAGCTCAGCCCCGAGTTTGAGCCCCACCAGACGTGCAGGGAGACACTTGTGCTGATCCCCTCTTCCCACAGCAGCACAGAGGCAATGGATGCTCTCCCCTCCAGCGTCACGTCGGGGTATCTCACCTGGTGCATACTGGGGTTGCGGCCCCCCTGCGTGTGCTCTGGTCTGTAGTACCACAGGAGGCTCATCATCAGCTCCCCTGCAAGAAGATACATTAAAACATGTCAAACCTCAGGTTTCACAGAGTGTTTTCCCACTAATATCCAGCCTCTTCCTCCTGCTCCATCCCTTTCATTCCCATCATGCTCACAGATAGGCAGCTGTGCTGTGATAAATATTTCATGCTGAACTAGAGGTGTCCTTTTGTTACAGCAAGAGGCTGTATGAAGTTGTCACGTTGCTATTCTATTATACCTTCACCCTTTCTATGCGTGTTGCATTGTCACAAAGAGATCAGGGAGGCACAAAAATAGAACAGAATACAAAAATCCAGTCTTTCCATCCGAAAGAAGTATCCACTTGGACATAAGCTGGAAGAGATGCTCATCCACAGCTTGGTACCTGCAGCATGAACTCCAGGTTAATGCCAGAATTGCTGCTGCAGGGTGATGTGACCAAGATGGGCCTCACCACACACTCATCACTTCTACTTTTAAGTAAGACCTGTGCTTTACAGCATCTGGCACAGCTCCCTTGGCTCAAGTACTGCTGCTCAGACCCGGCACTGTAACACCAAACCCACACTGCTCCAATCTCTACAGACAAGCCCATGCTCCACGCCAGCTCCCAGCCCAGATGTTGGGGAGAGCATCTGAGTAAACAGCAGCAGCTCCCGAGACGTCTGTTGCAATGAAATAATACAGGAGATCATTGCTAAGATGGGCACTTGGCAGCTATTCCGTGCTCTCAGCACCAGGAAGATTTTGATTACCAGTCCCAGGCTTGTGATTAAAGAGCATCTCAGTTCCTGGCACAACCTGAACGAAAGCCACGGAGCTAATCTCTCCCTCTTCACCACGCAGGCTGCAGCAGTGGAGCTCCCCAGCACATGGGCAGCAGTGCGGAGCTCCATCGCTCCCCCGGTTCCACCTCACCCTCAGCTGCAAGCACAGACGCAGCAGATACTCTGGCCCAGTACCTGTCTTGGGGTCTTCCCACAGCGCCGATATCTTCGCCACGTAGGGCATGGACTTCTTCCGGGGTCCTGACTTCAAGAGGACAGTGTCTCGCACCCGGATGATCTCCCCGTCTCTCTCCACCGCCTGGTAGCTCTTGCGAACAGCCGGCTCGGGTTCGTTCTGTGCCGTCAGAACACAAACACAGAGCAACCTGAGTGCACAGGCAGAGCCAGTTCGTTG